GGTGTGTTGAGACTTGCATTATGACTCAGCAAATGGTGTATGTGTCTGTGAATTTTCCTGTGTGAACTAGAAAAAATACATATTTTGGTATCATTCATTTCGTGAGCTGTTAGTGATACTCAGTTCTTCTATGTATCTTTTCTGATTTTCTTCCCACTTGTTATATCAGTTGGTGAGAGTTGTATAACTAAATGTAGGAGCCAGGGGTATAGTTCAGTGATGTAGTGCCTGCCTGGCAAGCATGAGGTCCTGAATTCAATTCCCGGTACACCCCCTCACCCCCCCACCCCCGTCTCCCGTGTAATTATGGATATGACTGTCTTCATTTCTGTCAGTTTTTGCTTCAGGATTATTAGTACTCTGTAATTAGGTTTTATATATTTAAGATTACTGTGCTTCTTGATTAATTGATGTTATCATTTTGAAATATCCTCTTTGAACTGTGATAATATTGTTTGTCCTCAGTTAAATTATCTAGTTTAATTGGTGCAGTCAGACTCTTCATTTAATGTTGTCAGAACTGACATTTAATGTTGTTTTGACATTTAATGTTGACATACACCATTTGCTGAGTCACAAGTCTCAACACACCTAAAACAGTTTTGAAATACTACAAAATATATTCTCTTACCACATCAGAATTATTCTGAAATAAACAATAAGTAATAATTCTGAAACAACATTAAATGTTTCCAGCTACAGCTGGAAAACTCTTTTGCTGAGATACAGTGTTATAAGTCCATAGGCAAGCTGGCTTGCTCAAAGAACAAATTGGGGGCCTTTCTGTATTTAATGTGTCTCGTGTTCTTCGGCTTTTTTTGTGTGTGTCATGCCATAGCATTCTACTCGCCCCACTTTAGTTTTTATTTTTTGAGACAAGCTCTTGCTGTACAGTTCAGGCTGGTCTTGAACTCAGTATGTAGCCCAGGCTGACCTCAACTCACGGAGATCCTCCTGCCTCTGCTTGTTGAGTGCTGAGATTGTAGGCATGTGCCACCACACCTGGCACTTTATTTATTTTTTTTTTTTTTTGAGGTAAGGTCGTATTCAATTGCTAGTTGCCCAGGCTGACCTCAAATTTGCAATTTTCTGAGTCAGACACCCAGAGTTCTAGGACTACAGATATGTACATACCACCCTGCCTGCCTTCCTTGGCTTATTTTTAAAAATCATTTTTTATTGCCAGTATGGTAGTGCACTCCTGTAATACCATCTCTGTGGAAGTGGAGGCAGGAGGATAGGTCCAGCAGTAGTTCAAGTTCAAGGCCAAATACATAGTGAGTTTAAGACCAGTCCTACAAGCTATTTTAAAAAAGCAACAAAACAAAAACTGTATTAATGATTTTTGGAAATTTGATTTGAAAGTGCTTTGACATTTTTTTTTTTTAATCTTGCTTTGCCTTTATTGAATTTGTTAGCCCTGTGACTGCTTTTTGTCACAGTCAGAAAACTTTCTATGCTATTTTGCCCCCTCACACCTCTCTCCTGTCTTTCTTAGTCTGGGGTCTAATGTTAGCCCTGTAGGTATTACTATATACATTCCTGAGTTCTCTGTGTGTTCCCGTTTGTGTGGGTGTGTGCGCATGCACCATTCTGTTTTGTACTGTTGTTTGTCAGGTTCATTGGTCATTATCTTAGTTACTTTTCTCTCCTTGCTGAGACAAAATATCTGACACCCAAAGTTAAAGGAGGATAGATTTATTTAGCTCATAGTTTGATTCACATACCTCCAAGAAAGCCCCATCTAAAAGGGCATGAGGCTTTGGGGGGATATCTAGACACAAACTGTAACAGCTACTTTTTTTTAATTATTATTTTATCGAGTAAAAGAAGGATAACAGTAATAGGGGGATTTACTGAATTACAGACAGAGTCGTAGGACGTTATCAGTGGTTGTTATTTTACCTGTTGGTATATTCAAGATAGTTTCTCAGGAAAACAC